GATTGGTTGTTTTCAGTCAGGCCCGGTGGATTCCTGCAAATGCCATTAGGAGCACTAGAATGAGTTAAATGTTACCTTCTGCAGCTTTAATTACTTTACCACTCTTAGCATTTAAGCTAGCAAGAAAATATCTATATTATCCACTCCTGCTTTAATAGTCACCAGATCTAACAGTGATTTTTTTTTTGTTCTCCTGCAGCTAAGCCCTCATTCCCCAAGTCATCGTCACCTAGCCTCAGTCTTCACGGTTACGGGAAGAGCTCCTCCTTGGCCTACGACTACTCCCATGATGCAGAGGCCGCTCACATGGCTGCCACTGCCATCTTGAACCTATCTACACGCTGCTGGGAGAAACCTGAGAACCTCAGCACTAAACCCCAAAACAAGGTAAACAGACCAATACAATCTCTTTCCAGGTTAATTAGAACATAAAGAAGATTGTAATTAAAGACTAACAGTATGGGAAATGAATCACCTAGTTTTAAGGTGATCAAAAATAGATCACAATTGGGAGATGAGTGAGTTGTTTATGGGTTTGTCATTATTGTAAAGTGTGGTGCTGTTGTCCTCTCCTGAGCACTCGGACAAAGAGATTATTAGCTGATTGTAGTGCAGATTGAAACATTGCAGGCCACAGCTGGTGAGATGAGAGGGGATGGCAGTGGGTGTGCCTTTCCTATCCTCTCCTCATTTTTTTCTCTCCTCATCAACTCTGCATGAATATATCATCAGGAGACATTGGCTTACAGCAACAGGATGGTGTTGAGATGCAGTTGCATCACCTTTCCCGTCCTCTTTCATCCTTCCATCCCTCCATCCCACACACTTTTCATGTTGTTATTGAATTTGGCTGACTGCCAGTTCCCTGGATTACTTTTCCACCAGGTAGCCTTTTTTCATTATCTGCTGGACAGATCTCCCACTCTCTATCTCCACCCCCGCTACTCTTTCTTTCATTTTCTTTTCACATCTCTTTTTTTCTCTCTTTTATCTCCCTCTCTTCCTCCCCATGCAAGTCCCACTGTTTCCCTATCTGTCTATACCTCTCTAGTTCTCACTCACTTCCTCCTTCCCCTCTCTGTGCACAGGAGGTGTAATTGGAGCACCACTTTCCCCCATATTGTGATTTTTAAAAGCCCTTTTGCCTCACAGAGGAGAGAAAGTGACTGCTTCATCATTTTTCGATTTCCTGACATGGTTTTAGGAAGATAAAAAGTGAAGATTAATGTCTCTGGCAGCACAGCAGAGCAAGGTGTTGTTCGGCAAAGCACCGATCCAAGAGCAGGCCTTAGCTGCGCAGTATGACAGTGCAGATCAACCGGAGACTGATCTGGAATCAGAGTTGGAGCCAGTTGAAATCCAATATTGAAACATTGGAACACTGAGCTCATCAACCAGGGACAGTTCTGGGAACTGTTCCCATTTTTTTCTCCTCTTCTCCTAACCCTTTGATTTTTCTGGCCCCTGACCAGCCCATGAGCGCCATTTTAGATGAATGTTGAAAACATGGCTCATCTCCCTTCTCTGCTTCTGTTCACCTGCCAGCACCATAATAGAGCAGGAGAGATGAACCCTTGTGCTGTTGGCAAAGTATTTGCAGAGTACATTAGATATCATTACTAGCATGCTTAAGCGATGAAAGTGGTACATGAAAAGCACTGTGAAAAAGTGCATCACACTGCTGTATGACTGTATAAATATTTGTCTGGTACAAGCTTGAGGGCAGGTAAAGGTGGATGGACAGAAACATGAAAAAATCTATTATTTTACCACATGAAAGTTTAGTTTAATCTGAATCTAAATTCCTCCCTGTATGCGACACTGGGTTGAAGTTATGTCTGAGGAAAATGTATGTATGTTAATGTATGAATCTGCTCAAGAGGTTAATTAAATTATTCACAAACATCATTATCATCATACAGGACTGCCTTTCCTACACTCAAGTGCAAGGAGACTGCATTAGCCATTTATATTTGGGAATACTCACTGCACTAATTAGATGTAAGGCCATAGCCATGGAGTCAACATTGGGGGACCAAATTAGTTAGGAGGTCCTACCAACAGTCGGTAGAGCTGGCGACCCATATACAGAGTTGTTGCAGCGGCCCGGGTTCGAATCCGACCGAATCTGCCCTTTGCTGCGTGTCATCCC